GCAACGATCGATGGCACAATGGAAGACACAGTTGCAGATCAATGGTGAGAGGCTGGGAGAGGTTAATATCAAGAGAGGAATATTTCAAGGAGATTCATTATCACCATTACTATTTGTTATTGCACTGTTTCCTCTGTAAACAATACTGAATAACTCAGGACATGGCTATCAAACATCAAAAACATCTGCCAGACTATCCCACCTCCTTTATATGGATGATCTGAAGCTGTATGGAAAAACATCATCTGAAATAGACTCGCTGCTCAACACTGTCCGTATATATAGCCAAGATATTGTAATGGAGTTTGGCTTGGACAAATGTCCCACACTTACTATCAAACAAGGAAAAGTAGTGAAAACTAAAGGAATCAAGATGCCCCACGAAAATAACATTAAGAGTCTGGATGACGAAGATTACTACAAATACATGGGTATCCTTCAAGCTGACAACATCTAGCACACTGAAGTCAAGAAAAAGATTAGAGGTGAATACATCAAGAGACCCCTTTATGGATTACTGCTTTGTCGTGGCGAAGGGGCTTGTGTAACTCAATGAAGCTATAAGCTATGCTGTGCAGGGCCACCCAAGACGGACAGGTCACAGCAGAGAGTTCTGACAAAATGTGATCCATTGGAGAAGGAAATGGCAACCCACTCCACTATCTTTGCCATGAAAACCCCATGGACAGTACTAAAAGGCAAAAAGATATGACGCTGGAAGATGAGCCCCTCAGGTCGGAAGGTGTCCAATATGCTACTGGGGAAGAGCAGAGGGCTAGTACTAGTAGCGCCAGAAAGAATGAAGCGACTGGGCCAAAGCCGAAAGGACGCTCAGCTGTGGATATATCTGGTGGTGAAAGGAAAGTCCGATGCTGTAAAGATCTTTTCTCCATAGGAACCTGGAATGTAAGATCCATGAATCAAGGCAAGCTAGACATAGTCAAAAAAGAGATGACAAGAACGAACATCGACATCTTAGGAATCAGACAACTAAAATGGACAGGAATGGGTGAATTTAACTCAGATGACCATCAGGTATAATACTGTGGGCAAGAATCCCTCAGAAGAAATGGAGTAGCCTTCATAGTCAATAAAAGAATAGGAAAAGCAATACTGGGATACAATCCCCAAAATGACAGAATGATCTCAATTCGAATCCAAGGCAAACCATTCAATATCACAATAGTCCAAATCTATGCCCCAACCACTGGTGCTGAAGAGGATGAAATTGACCGGTTCTATGAAGCCCTACAGCACCTTATAGAATTAACACCAAAAAATGATGTCCTTATCATCATGGGGGATTGGAATGCTAAGGTAGGAAGCCAAAAGATAACCGGAATAACAGGCAAGTTTGGCCTTGGAGTACAAAATGAAGCAGGGCACAGGCTAATAGAATTTTGTCAAGAGAATAGGATGGTCATAACAAACACTCTTTTCCAACAACCCAAGAGACGGCTCTACACATGGACATCACCAGACAGTCAACATAGAAATCAGATTGACTATGTGCTCTGCAGCCAAAGATGGAGAAGCTCTATACAGTCAGTAAAAACAAGACCAGGAGCTGACTGTGGCTCAGATCATGAGCTTCTCGTTGCAAAATTTAGGCTTAAATTGAAAAAAGTAGGGAAAAGCACTAGGCCACTCAGGTATGAACTAAATCATATTCCTGATGAATATACAGTAGAGGTAACAAATAGATTTAAGGAATTAGATCTGATAGACAGAGTGCCTGAAGAACTATGGATGGAAGTTCGCAACATTGTACAAGAGGTAGCAACTAAAACCATCCCAAAGAAAAAGAAATGCAAGAAAGCAAAATGGCTGTCTGAGGAAGCTTTGCAAATAGCTGAGGAAAGAAGGGAAGCGAAAGGCAAAGGAGAAAGAGAAAGATACACCCAATTGAATGCAGAATTCCAGAGAGTAGCTAGAAGAGATAAGAATGCCTTCTTAAATGAACAGTGCAAAGAAATAGAAGAAAACAACAGAATAGGGAGGACCAGAGATCTCTTCAAGAAAATTGGAGATATGAAGGGAAAGTTTCATGCAAAGATGGGCATGATAAAGGACCAAAATGGCAGGGACCTAACAGAGGCAGAAGAGATTAAGAAGAGATGGCAAAACTACACAGAAGAACTATACAAGAATGAGCTTAACGTCCCAGATAACCACATTGAGATGGTCACTGACCTCGAACCAGACATCCTAGAATGGGAAGTGAAATGGGCCTTAGAAAATCTGAGCAACAACAAAGCTAGTGGAGGTGACAGGATTCCAGCTGAGCTATTCAAAATCTTAAAAGACGATGCAGTAAAAGTGCTACACTCAATTTGCCAGCAAATTTGGAAAACTCAACGGTGGCCACAGGATTGGAAAAGGTCAGTTTACATTCCAATTCCAAAGAAAGGCAATGCCAAAGAATGTTCAAACTATCGCACCATTGCACTCATTTCACATGCTAGTAAAGTTATGCTTAAAATCCTACAAGCTAGACTCCAGCAGTATGTGGATCAAGAACTACCAGAAGTACAGGCAGGATTTCGAAGAGGCAGAGGAACTAGAGATCAAATTGCCAACATACGCTGGATCATGGAGAAAGCTAGGGAGTTCCAGAAAAACATCTACTTCTGCTTCATTGACTATGCTAAAACCTTTGATTGTGTGGATCACAACAAATTGTGGCAAGTTCTTAAAGAGATGGGAGTACCAGACCATCTCATTTGTCTCTTGAGAAACCTATATGCGGGTCAAGAAGCAACAGTGAGAACCGAACACGGAACCACTGATTGGTTCAAAATTGGAAAAGGAGTCCGGCAAGGCTGTATACTGTCGCCCTGCCTATTTAACTTATATGCAGAGCACATCATGAGAAAGGCAGGGCTAGATGAATCAAAAGTTGGAATTAAGATTGCCGGGAGAAATATCAACAACCTAAGATATGCAGATGATACCACTCTAATGGCAGAAAGTGAAGAGGAACTAAAGAGCCTCTTGATGCGGGTGAAGAAGGAGAGTGCAAAAGTTGGCTTGAAACTCAACATTAAGAAAACCAAAATCATGGCATCCGGCCCTCTCAATTCCTGGCAAATAGATGGGGAAGAAATGGAGGTAGTGAGAGCTTTTATTTTTCTGGGCTCCAAGATCACCTCAGATGGGGACTGCAGCCAAGAAATCAAAAGACGTTGCTCCTGGGGAGGAAAGCTATGGCAAATCTAGACAGCATTCTAAAAAGCAGAGACATCACCCTGCCAACAAAAGTGCGTATAGTCCACGCCATGGTTTTCCCAATTGCAATATATGGCTGTGAAAGTTGGACCATAAGAAAGGCTAAGCGCCAAAGAATTGAGGCCTTTGAACTATGGTGCTGGAGAAGACTCCTGCGAGTCCCTTGGACTGCAAGGCGTTCAAACCGGTCAGTCCTAGAAGAGATCAACCCCAACTGTTCTTTAGAAGGCCAGATCCTGAAGTTGAAACTCAAATACTTTGGCCACCTAATGAGAAGGAAGGACTCACTGGAGAAGGGCCTAATGCTGGGAAAGATTGAGGGCAATAGAAGAAGGGGACGACAGAGAATGAGATGGCTGGATGGAGTCACTGAAGCAGTAGGTGTGAACTTAAATGGACTCCAGAAGATGGTAGAGGACAGGAAGACCTGGAGGAACGTTGTCCATGGGGTCGCGATGGGTCGGACACGACTTCGCATTTAACAACAAAATTGTACAAAAGATTTTTTGTTTAGACACAGAGCCTCTACTTGCCTTCACAACTACGCAGCAGAAGCCTCTAAGCAATTAGGATGATGTCATGAAAAGATAGGTCTCTTTTGATGATTGCTTCTTCCCAACTGTATATCCCAATCCTTATTTATAACACTTACAAATGCTATGGTGAAAAGATTATTTGCCGCAGAACCAGTTCTTAAACACCCTGATCCTGAGGAACCTTTCATCATCCAAGCTGATGCTAGTGATGTTGCAGTGGGTACAGTCCTCCCACAAAAACAACTTGGGGGGGGGATCTGCAGCCCTATGCCTACAATTCATGATAGCTTTTGGAAACAGAGAGGAGATGGGCTGTTTGGGAGAAAGAAGGTTTTGCGGTGAGATGGGCGTTATTAACTTGGTGCCATTTCTTGGAAGGGAGCAAAGTGCCTTTCAAAGTATAGACTTATCAATATTATTATTCAAAATAATATTGAATTACCTAGAGAAGACACGGTTGGATTTATCGCTTTCACACCAACACCCCACTCACTTTACATAAACATTGTTCATGGGGTCGCGATGGGTCGGACACGACTTCGCAATTAAGAACAACAACATCAAGAGAGTGAAGAAGATCTTAAAGTCCAAACACAATGGAGGAAATACCATAAAGGCAATCAACACTTGGGCAATTCCAGTCATTAGATACACAGCTGGAATAGTGAACTGGACTCAAGCAGATCTAAAAGCAATGGATAGGAAGACCAGAAAAATAATGACAATGAATCATGCCCTTCATCCACGCAGTGACATTGACAGACTTTATCTACCAAGGCAAATAGGTGGGCGTGGAATGCTACAAGTACATCAGATGGTTGAAGAAGAAAAAATAGCTTTGGAAGAATATCTGAAGAACAATGATGAAGATGCACTGAAATTAGTATATCAGGAAGGCTTACTGACTACTGGAGAGACCAAACTGGCCTACAAGAAAGACCAAATGAAGAACAGAATAGAGGCATGGGAAGACAAAGCACTACATGGCCAATATGTTAAAAAAAGTAGCTGGGAAAGCAGATAATAACAAGACCTGGCAATGGCTAAGAGCTGGAAAATTGAAGAAAGAGACCGAGGGACTAATTCTGGCTGCACAAGACCAAGCCTTAAGGACAAATGCATTATTATTATTATTATTATTATTATTATTATTATTATTATTATTATAACAGCTTCTCTCGGTCACTTATCAAAAATCTCCTTCCTTTAATAGTGGTTCTTCTTTAATGACTGAATTATTCTGGACTACCAATATTAGTACTGCTAAAAATAATTGTATATTTTTGATTTTTTGCACCTTTTTGAGGACTATCCCCTTCCTTAACACTAACAATATTAAAGGATGATGGGTGATTATCATTTGCCTCTAGTTTTGGATCAATATTGGCTTATGTTTCAGCTAGTTTGTAGAGAAAAAAATGATTAAATGGAGAAAAAGTATTTTTGTTGTTGCTATTGATGATGCTAATATTAACATGATCATGGTTTTACTCTAGTTTATTCTATAAAAAGCTAGTACGCGTGATTTGCAATATTGAACTGGTGAAGGAGAATCCCCAGAACCTGCACAATCTCACACTTGGCTACAACACCCATGACAACTATGATAACACCCTCGGCACTTCAGATGCCTTGCTGGACATGCTCTCTACTGGAGAAGCCAATGTTCCCAACTACAGCTGTGGAAGGGAGGAGAAGCTTTTGGCTCTTTTTGATGGAGCTGACAGAGACAGCTCCATCCAGATGTCAACATTAGCAAGCACCTACAAAGTCCCACAGGTTTGTGTTTGTCCTTCCCTTTCTGTAAAGTGAGTGGGGTGTTGATGTGTAAGTGATAGCTCCAATCGTGTCTTCTCTAGATAATTCTATATTATTTTGAATAATAATAATGATCAGTCTATACTTCGAAAGGCACTTTACTCGCTTCCAAGAAATTGTGCCAAGTTAATAATGCCCATCTCACAGCAAAAGCCTCTTTCTCCCAAACAACCCATCTCCTTTCTGAAGTGTAGGGCTGCAGAACCCCCCTAAGGTGTTTTTGTGGGAGGACTGTGCTCAAGGCAACATCACCAGCATCAGCTTGGATGATGAAAGGTTCCTCAGGATCAGGGTGTTTAAGAACTGGTTCTGCTTCAAATAATTGTTTCACCATGGCATTTGTAAGTGTTATAAATAAGAATTGGGATATACGGTCAGGAGGAAGAAAGGATCAAAAGAGACATGTCTTCTCTTGACATCATCTCAATTGCTTAGAGGTTTCTGCTCCATACTTGTGAAGGCAAGGAGAAGCTCTGTGTTCAGTCAAAGGATCTTCTGTACAATAGGAATGTGCAGTACTCATCGAAAACTCACATTGTTTTACACGGTCTTAGCCAAAATAATGATATCCTCAATGATGACCAAATCTCAGAATTTTAAAAAGAATCATAAGGGATTACCTTTCCTATTGATGATAAAACATATATGTATTATGAATCTTTAGGGGCCACTAACATTAACCAACCATTTTATTAAAAATCTACAAATAGACAACATATCAACTATTTTTGCCCTAAAATTCTCATGATCAAATTCATTATAAATGGTCTGAAGAGCAATATGGCCTCTGGAGAGGATTTTCTAGCAGTTGAACAGTTCAAGAAATAACCTGACTGGTGGGACCCTCCATTGACAGCTACATTTACACTTATAAATAATATCAGCCACACCCATTTGGGTCAAAGATGGCAATTGTAATTCCTATATATAAGAAAGGGAATAAAAAGGAACCTAGCAATTCCAGGCCCGTTTCTCTAACAGATATTGTGACTAAAATATATGCAAACTTCTATTTGAAAAGAATTGATAGTAGGTGGATGAAAAGTGTATTCCTTGTGGAAGAACCAGCAGTCTTTAGGCAGATGTGATCAACTCTTGTCAATTCTTTTGTCTTGAAACATCGAACTATAAAAATATCAGTCAGAGGAAATAATGGTTTGCTGCCTTTATAACATTTGACACAGTAAACAAAGAAATATAATGGAAGAAATTGACTGCCCTTCACATGGAACTCAGGATGTTGACCTTGCTCAAAGCCCTTTCTACAAGCCCTGACAGTGAGAACAATTAATCAGTGGAACGGCTTGCCTCATGAAGTTGTGGGTGCTCCATTAATGGAGATTTTCAAAAAGAGGCTGGACATTCATTTTGTCTGAATCTCTTGCTATGGGTAGAGGGTTGGACTAGAAAACCTCCATGGTCCCTTCCATCCCATTTTTGTTCATTTGTTTGAGAGTGTGTTTGGGGCTCAATGGAGCCATGAGAAGTAGGATTGATATGTACCAAAACTGAAGAAAAAGGTGATGCCAATATGACATTTGGGTTGCATGTGCTGTTAAGGGGACTTGGCTCCTATTCTCATAATAATTATCTGATTATGGGTGAGTCAAAGTCAAAAGTGATGGTCTTTGGGAAAGGACAGCATTGTCCTATAGGGCTAATTGATGAGGAGGCAACAGAGCAAGTTCACACCTTTCCTTACCTGGGGGAATTTTCTCTCTGACTGGATCTGGGCTCCCTCAACATCAAAGGAGCTCATTTAGAAGGCACAAGTGAATGCACTGTTAATTTTTTTTAAAAAAAAATCATAGGTATGCGGCTTCCTTAGACTGAATTATTCAATACAAAATACCAAGGTTACCATTATGCACTTATATTGAGCTGAACTTTGGAATTTAATTTATATTTATAATTTATATTACTACTAGAACAAATCCGATCACATCATCTGAGAAGTATCTTGAGTTTGGATGAAAGGACTTCAACTGCTGCCCTCAGAATAGAATTAGGAATATATACAATTTATAAAATTGGGGCATATAATTATTTTTATGGATTACGGCCTTGTCGTGGCGAAGGGGCTTGCGTAACTCAATGAAGCTATAAGCTATGCCGTGCAGGGCCACCCAAGACGGACAGGTTATAGCAGAGAGTTCTGACAAAATGTGATCCACTGGAGAAGGAAATGGCAAACCACTCCAGTATCTTTGCCATGAAAACCCCATGGACAGTACTAAAAGGAAAAAAGATATGACGCTGGAAGATGAGCCCCTCAGGTCGGAAGGTGTCCAATATGCTACTGGGGAAGAGCAGAGGGCTAGTACTAGTAGCGCCAGAAAGAATGAAGCGACTGGGCCAAAGCCGAAAGGACGCTCAGCTGTGGATATATCTGGTGGTGAAAGGAAAGTCCGATGCTGTAAAGATTTTTTCTCCATAGGAACCTGGAATGTAAGATCCATGAATCAAGGCAAGCTAGACGTAGTCAAAAAAGAGATGACAAGACTGAACATCGACATCTTAGGAATCAGCGAACTAAAATGGACAGGAATGGGTGAATTTAACTCAGATGACCATCAGGTATACTACTGTGGGCAAGAATCCCTCAGAAGAAATGGAGTAGCCTTCATAGTCAATAAAAGAATAGGAAAAGCAATACTGGGATACAATCCCCAAAATGACAGAATGATCTCAATTCGAATCCAAGGCAAACCATTCAATATCACAGTAGTCCAAATCTATGCCCCAACCACTGGTGCTGAAGAGGATGAAATTGACCGGTTCTATGAAGCCCTACAGCACCTTATAGAATTAACACCAAAAAATGATGTCCTTATCATCATGGGGGATTGGAATGCTAAGGTAGGAAGCCAAAAGATAACCGGAATAACAGGCAAGTTTGGCCTTGGAGTACAAAATGAAGCAGGGCACAGGCTAATAGAATTTTGTCAAGAGAATACGATGGTCATAACAAACACTCTTTTCCAACAACCCAAGAGACGGCTCTACACATGGACATCACCAGACGGTCAACATAGAAATCAGATTGACTATGTGCTCTGCAGCCAAAGATGGAGAAGCTGTATACAGTCAGTAAAAACAAGACCAGGAGCTGACTGTGGCTCAGATCATGAGCTTCTCGTTGCAAAATTTAGGCTTAAATTGAAAAAAGTAGGGAAAAGCACTAGGCCACTCAGGTATGAACTAAATCATATTCCTGATGAATATACAGTAGAGGTGACAAATAGATTTAAGGAACTGGATCTGATAGACAGAGTGCCTGAAGAACTATGGATGGAAGTTCGCAACATTGTACAAGAGGTAGCAACTAAAACCATCCCAAAGAAAAAGAAATGCAAGAAAGCAAAATGGCTGTCTGAGGAAGCTTTGCAAATAGCTGAGGAAAGAAGGGAAGCGAAAGGCAAAGGAGAAAGAGAAAGATACACCCAACTGAATGCAGAATTCCAGAGAATAGCTAGAAGAGATAAGAATGCCTTCTTAAATGAACAGTGCAAAGAAATAGAAGAAAACAACAGAATAGGGAGGACCAGAGATCTCTTCAAGAAAATTGGAGATATGAAGGGAACGTTTCATGCAAAGATGGGCATGATAAAGGACCAAAATGGCAGGGACCTAACAGAGGCAGAAGAGATTAAGAAGAGATGGCAAAACTACACAGAAGAACTATACAAGAATGAGCTTAACATCCCAGATAACCACAATGAGATGGTCACTGACCTCGAACCAGACATCCTAGAATGTGAAGTGAAATGGGCCTTAGAAAATCTGAGCAACAACAAAGCTAGTGGAGGTGACAGTATTCCAGCTGAGCTATTCAAAATCTTAAAAGACGATGCAGTAAAAGTGCTACACTCAATTTGCCAGCAAATTTGGAAAACTCAACAGTGGCCACAGGATTGGAAAAGGTCAGTTTACATTCCAATTCCAAAGAAAGGCAATGCCAAAGAATGTTCAAACTATCGCACTCATTTCACATGCTAGTAAAGTTATGCTTAAAATCCTACAAGCTAGACTCCAGCAGTATGTAGATGGAGAACTACCAGAAGTACAGGCAGGATTTTGAAGAGGCAGAGGAACTAGAGATCAAATTGCCAACATACGCTGGATCATGGAGAAAGCTAGGGAGTTCCAGAAAAACATCTACTTCTGCTTCATTGACTATGCTAAAAGCCTTTGATTGTGTGGATCACAACAAATTGTGGCAAGTTCTTAAAGAGATGGGAATACCAGACCATCTCATTTGTCTCTTGAGAAACCTATATGCGGGTCAAGAAGCAACAGTGAGAACTGGACACGGAACCACTGATTGGTTCAAAATTGGAAAAGGAGTCCGGCAAGGCTGTATACTGTCGCCCTGCCTATTTAACTTATATGCAGAGCACATCATGAGAAAGGCAGGGCTAGATGAATCAAAAGTTGGAATTAAGATTGCCGGGAGAAATATCAACAACCTAAGATATGCAGATGATACCACTCTAATGGCAGAAAGTGAAGAGGAACTAAAGAGCCTCTTGATGCGGGTGAAGAAGGAGAGTGCAAAAGTTGGCTTGAAACTCAACATTAAGAAAACCAAAATCATGGCATCCGGCCCTCTCAATTCCTGGCAAATAGATGGGTAAGAAATGGAGGTAGTGACAGATTTTATTTTTCTGGGCTCAAAGATCACCTCAGATGGGGACTGCAGCCAAGAAATTAAAAGACGCTTGCTCCTGGGGAGGAAAGCTATGGCAAATCTAGACAGCATTCTAAAAAGCAGAGACATCACCCTGCCAACAAAAGTGCGTATAGTCCAGGCCATGGTTTTCCCAGTTGCAATGTATGGCTGTGAAAGTTGGACCATAAGAAAGGCTGAGCGCAAAAGAATTGAGGCCTTTGAACTATGGTGCTGGAGAAGACTCCTGCGAGTCCCTTGGACTGCAAGGCGTTCAAACCGGTCAGTCCTAGAAGAGATCAACCCCGACTGCTCTTTAGAAGGCCAGATCCTGAAGTTGAAACTCAAGTACTTTGGCCACCTAATGAGAAGGAAGGATTCACTGGAGAAGAGCCTAATGTTGGGAAAGATTGAGGGCAATAGAAGAAGGGGACGACAGAGAATGAGATGGCTGGATGGAGTCACTGAAGCAGTAGGTGTGAATTTAAATGGACTCCAGAAGATGGTAGAGGACAGGAAGACCTGGAGGAACATTGTCCATGGGGTCGCGACGGGTCAGACATGACTTCGCAATTAACAACATAACAACAACAATTATTTTTAATAAAATAAATGGTATGGAAACTACTACTATTACTACTACTACTATAGTACTTATTTTTCTAAATTTTAAATTTCATTTAAAACATTCTTGATTTTATATTAGGAACTTTCATCTCCCTGTCTTTTTTGCAACTCGAGAAAAACCAACTGGATGTAATACATCTATTATTTTGAATGACAATTACTTAAGAAAGAGGGAGATCAATAATAAAACTCTTTTCAGAAGGAAATTATGCTCTGATTGTGGTGAATTCTGGGGTTATAAAGAAATACTATTTTCATTCTTTACGCTTATTATATTGTATTTATTTTTCTAAATTCTGTTTTTACATGCAGCCTTGTTAATATTCTTTGTTTTATATGGTGTATGTTGATATGGCCTAATGACTAATCAACAGGAAATGTTCTAATATGTGCATGAGAAAAAAGTTGTATTCATTAAAAGCTAAAAATTGGGACTAGGTAGAACCCCAAATATAACACAGAATTCTTCATTGTTTTTTCAGGTCAGTATGAGAATTGCTTCAGAGGCTCTGAGTGATAAAAGTCAATTCCCTTTTTTCCATCCGATGCTCCCCAAAGAAGGGATCCAGTATCCAGGAATTGTCCAAATTCTCCTCCATTTTGGATGGACCCTGATTGGTCTCTTTGCAACAGACACAGAGTAGGGAGAAAATTTCATGAGAAATTTTAATCCTATGCTTGTCAAGAATAGAATTTGTGTTGCTATTTCACAACAATTCTCAATGACTGGACATACCCCATTCCTCAGGGACGCCCTCTCTAAGTGGAGACAAGTCAACGTCTTTGTTAACTTCATAGAATTTGATTCCCTTTTGGACAGTATTCTTCCCATCCATTCAGCACTTGAAAGTTTGCCAGGACCCATTGAAGGGAAAGTCTGGATCATGACCGTGGCTGCAGTATTTTCAATTAAAAAAGATTGGTGTCTCAAGCACGTCCACAGTATTTGGAGTTTTCCCTGTCAGTGGAAAGAGAGTTGGAAATATGATAATGCCTTTAAAAGAGATTTCTTTGTGGAACCTGAATTTCAAGCTGAGTATTTTCACTGTTCTGTTTCAAAACACACCTTTTCTGTCAAAGGCCGGAGAAGATGCACCCAGAAAGCACCAGTGGAGTCCCAAGAGAAAACGAATAGGATGCAGATCGCAAATCCTTTCATTACTTACAGTGTCATAAAGATTCTGGCCCACGCCTTAAGTGCTGCATCCCAACCCCAGAGGAGAAGGAAGAAGGGTGAAGAGAGGTTGGGGGCTCCAAGGCTGCAACTATGGAAGGTAGGGGGTCCCAACAAGGATCCATCAAACTAAATTCCTTTTCAGGGTCTTTTGTGCTCTCTGGGCTTGGTGGTTTAAGATCTTAAGCTTCACAACAGAGAGACTTCGAGAGCCAGAGACCTCTCTGATTCCTCAAGCTGAGTGGCCGGCTGAGAAGAGCAGAGCAGGCAGAGCAGCTGAGGTGACTGGAAAGCTGAACGGAGGCCTGACCAGAGCAGAGACTAGCTCCAAAGACAGAAGGGATAAAACAACAGGAGGCCAGAGGACTGAGCAACATAAGTGAAGGCAACAATTAATATTGAGGTCCCAATAGGAAGGGAGGGAAGACCCCCAGTAAAGAACAAAAAGGATTTGGAGGTCAAAAAGTTAAAAAAAAATAGAGGGGAGAATAAGGATAAATAAAACTAACACAATAGTAAGAAGGTTAAATAAATAATAAGGTAGCACAAACAGGGAGAAAAAAGGACAGAACAGAGAAGCTGGAAACAAAGCTAACAGCAAAGCACAACCACTAACCAAAAAGAGCAACTACCAAACAACAAATTTATGTAGCAGGTGACTGAAACTATTGTGATATGCAATACATGTTCCATGTATGCACTGATGCCCAAAGAACACCCAAACTACACATGCATCAGATGCAAATTATGTGAACTACTACAGGAAAAGTTTAGGAACTTAGAAGCAACTCTAGCTTTTACATCTTGGGGTTTGCGGCATTGAAGCGACACACACTCACATTGTAACCAAGTTCTTCTTTATTTGATCCACGTTACCACTCAGTAACCCAACAGGCTTGCAGGCCTTTTATAGTCTTCCAAACAACCTATCATACATCTCCTTTATTCATGCCTTGTGCATACACGCAAGGCCGGTGCCAACCAGTCTGGTCCCGGGCAGCTTTTGGGTTGCCCAGGACCTTTTGCAACATTTCTGGGCCTGCTGAGCTGCCCCATCAGCCCCAGAACACAACACTAGCCAAACCCAAATGCACAAAAGAAAGTGCCACCCAAATCGCACCAAACAATGAACAAATAACCCTACCGCTAAACCCTTGGAGGAAGACAAATGGAGGTATGTCACACAGAAAAGGAAATATAACACTCAAAGAAAGAAACAACATGCAACAAACAAACCTCTTCTGCCCAATCCTACCCAACCATAAACAACCCCATTAAAACTGAGCAATCAAATTTTCCCCTTAGAAGGAAACACGCAGACCCACAACCTCCCCCTCAAAGAAGACATGCAGACACCTAGCAAAGGAACAAAATAATCCTTAAAAAGTCACCTCAAATATTCCTAAAAAAGCCACACCAACAACCACACTTGAAACAAACAGAAAAGCACCCTAGACTTCAGCCCCCCTAAAAAAAAAGGAAAAAAAAGAAAGGATGTGGTCCCTGTCTTCAAGAAAGGGGAAAAAATGGACCCAGGAAACTACAGATCAATCAGTTTAATATCAATACCTGGGAAGATCCTAGAAAAGATAATCAAAAAATAGATCTGCGAACAACTAGAAGCAAACAAAGTGATAACTAGCAGCCAGCATGGTTTGTTAAAAACAGATTATGCCAGACCAATCTGATCTCATTCTTTGATAAAGTGACTAAACTAGTAGACCAGTGAAATGCAGTGGACATAGTATACCTAGATTTCAGTAAGGCATTTGACAAAATAGAACACAACTACTCCTTGGAAAGCTAAAAAAAGGTGGAATAGACAACATCACCACCAGATGGATCTGTAGCTGGCTGACAAACCGTACAAAACGAGTAGTCCTAAATGGCACTACATCCACATGGAGAGAAGTAAGCAGTGGGGTATCACAAGGTTCTGTCTTAGGCCCAGTACTCTTTAATACCTTTATAAACAATTTAGATGAGGGAATTGAAGGGGAACTCATCAAATTCTCAGATGACACCAAACTGTCAGGAGTAGCCAACATCCCAGAAGACAAACTCAGGCTCCAAAAAGATCTTGACAAACTTGACTATGGGCTCTATCCAACACAATGAGTTTCAATGTGGAGAAAAGCAAAGTCTTACCTTTAGGCAGGAAAAACCAAAGGAACAAATTGTCATGTGTCTGACTAATGAAACACTTCAAAGAACTTTCAGGCATTGTTTAACCTAAAAAGCCTTTATTAGTGTAAAGGAGTGTCAGCACGGCATGGAGGAATGCTAAGATCTGAATTTCCCGTCCTTTGCACATGACATTCCAGGCATTTCCCCTCCCCTATTTTGGCGTCATGATTCACATCTTCCAATTAACTTGGAGGGCAAAGATTCACTTCCGTTCCCTTCCGCATGCTTTTCTCTCCACTCCTATTCTCATCTGCATATTTTGTCAAAGCAAGAATATTCAATATTAGCAGCGTTGACACAAATACAGATTGGGCAAGACCTGACTTGGGAACAGCAACTGTGATAGGGACCTTGGTGGACGATCACTTAACTATGAGCCAGCAGTGTGCAGCAGCAACCAAAAAAGCTGATACAATCCTGGGTTGTATAAACAGAGGCATAGATTCAAGATCATGCAAAGTACTAGTATCACTTTATAAAGCCCTAATAAGACAACACTTCGAATACTGCAGCCAATTTTGGTCACCATACCACAAAAAAGATGTTGAGAGTCTTGAAAAAATTCAGAGAAGAGCAACTAAGATTATCAAAGGCTTGGAGACCAAAATGTATGAAGAACAGCTGCGGAAGTTGGGTTTGACCAGTCTAAAGAAAAGAAGAAATAGGTGATACATGACTGTCAAAAGAGATAGTGAAAGATTTATACTTTCACATTGCAAGATTTTGTTAATATAGCTTTACAATAAAGTAGAATTACTTCATCTGGTCATTTTTCCTATCTCCTCTACCTGAATGAAGATTAGCCTTGCAACTTCCTTCTTAACAAATCCTTGCTTTCTAGTAATCACCCTATTGTTTGCAAAGAGTTTATGCATACTGTAGTTATTTGTGTATTTTGTTTACTTGATTCTTGATCATTGCTACATTTTATTAGTATACTCAGTGCTTTTTTTCTAAAAAAAAAAAAAGGTGCCGGAACTCACACATGTCATACAACCCGCCTTGCCTACCCTACAAGGTTCCATCCAAAAAAGGTGCCGGAACTCCATTCTGGGCGTTCTATGAGAAAAAAAGCCCTGCATATACTACATGCTTTAGAAATATTGCTTAATATTTGTACTTCAGTTTTGAAGATAATGGTAAAACTATTTCTCCCAAATCACAGTATTTGCAAGTTAAACAACCATAGAAGAAAGATTCAAATGTAAAAAGAGATAAGGAACCAAGATTTCTGCTTTTAAATTCCTGGATGTTTCCATTCTAGTTCCATCCATTTCTAAAGAAGAGGGAATTGTACAATCTTTCCCTGCTGAAAGTGTACTTGGATCAGAATGAAAACGTAGTAGCAGATCTTGAGTAGGGTGGTTCTTCCCAAGGAGGATCCCATCAACAAGCAATTGGGCACTTTTGAAAGACAAAGACTTACAATCAACCAAGATGCTTTGTCATACTTAAAGTTCCTCAAGAAGGTGGGGAAAATTTTGATCTCTTTTCTCTTTTTTCCAAAGCTGTTTCAAGTGGGCTAAACCTAATCAAAAAAGTGAGTAACTTTCACTGAGAATTGAATGTGTGGAGTAAAACCCCTATAACTTTCTTAGGCAGATAAGCAAGCTTCAGTTCTATTGACCAAGGTTTCCCTTCTGATGCTGTCATGCTGAACCCTGTTGTAAGCTGATCCAAAATGAGATATGGGGTGATTATTATTTAGGACCCAAATCATTGCCATTTAGTGTCCCTCGGCAGTTTAGTACCACCATAAAACTGGTGAGACAGGGCCTCATAGGCTGGAGATTTTGGTGTTAATAGCTTCAAATTCACTAGTTTCTTTGTCTTTAGATATCAAAGATGAAGGCAATTCTTTTGACCAGTCCCTGAGTTCAGATTTGGACTGAATCTGAGGAAAGGGAATCCAGAGTGGATGGAGGTCCTGTTGGTCCAGTTCGGAAATAAGGTTCATCTTTGTCCTGGTTGGAGTCAGGGGTCTCCCAAAATTGCAGGTTCATAGTCTGGGATGTTTTTAATCAGCTGAGTCCATAGTTACACCTGCCTCTCTTTAACCCACACTGGGATAGTGGAATTTAGGAAGGAGGTCCAAGGCTTTCAGTTCACATAAAATAATAATGACTGGTCTGATGTGAGCACAATTATGAATTGATTGATTAAATTTACTTGCTACCCATCTCACCATGATAATGACTTGAAAACTGAAGTACTGAAACATGACTTTGGTGCAAAAAAAATCTTGATATCAGAAATAATAAGGGGAATAGAATAGAAGAGAAGACCTGTAAGGGACCTTGGAGGTCTTCTAGTCCAGCCCCCTGCTTAAGCAGGAGAACCTATTCAAGCAGGAGAAACTAATGTTACATAGATTTGGGCATTGGCTTGTAAGAGTGCCCTTCATCTGAAAATCCCTTGAATGCAACTGTTTATCTTGATTGTTAGCTGCCCTAGGACATGCTGAGAGGCTACAAATCAAACTAATAATAAATATGGGTGTGTATTTCCCTGTCAAATTATGTCACCTAATTGTATTCTTTCAACAGAAAGGACCTTGTGTTGATTATGTTGTGTTGAGTATCCATTTCCCACACAGGGCTCACACTCATGACCCATGTGGGGCACCAAAAGATGCCTGATTCACCCTTTTTGAGGGACACATTCTCATGACCTCACCTCCATCTCACCTCACTATAGTTTTAGAAATTAGTCAGCCAGTTTTAGTTTTAGTTCACTGGCATGGCAGCCATATAAATTGAACAAATATACATACAAATAAAGAGCATTTTTAAGGTTGACAGCCCATATTTGTAAGGAAATTTTTCTTTTTATCTTAACTGGAGATAATTTTGGACTGCTTTCAAAGAAAAAAACTTGCCAGATCCTACTGGTCAAAAGTTTATTTCTTCCTCACAGTTTTATTCTAGTTTAATAAATCCAATGAAATTAAAATTTGATATAGATATTACAATAAAGTTCATTCTAAAATTTAGTGATTTAGTGAGGGGGAGTTCCACGGGGGGGGGAATGCCCGGACGCCCCCCTCCCCCCCCGCTTCATTTCATTTATTAGCACTCTCCCGGATAAAGATTTGCTCCTTGTGTATTCTGTGCTCTCCGATATACGAAAATTAATCATTGGTATTTATTGCTATTTATGGACACTCCTAGACCGCCCCCCCCCTCCCTGAAAGCGGGGCTCTGGATGGCGTAGGATATAACATCACCCCTAAATAAAGAAGTATAAAAATAAGCATAAAAATAAATTACCCTTAAAAAGTTTGAAATTCTACAAGGATGACAATGGAACATGCCAAAGGGAAGAAATAGATTCCTCTCCTTCCCATCAGACCCACGATCTTCCTTCTCTTCCCACGGTCCAAAGTTTCCCCTGCCCAGAAATACTTCTTTGCAGAATATTATACCAAGTATTTTTTCTGGCAGGGGGAGGAATCCAGCAAGGTCTCTCTCTTGCCCTCCTGCCCTCCAGCCAAGCCCACCGTCTCCATCTCCCCCACCAAGCTGGATCCCACTTCCCCTAACACCATCCTCCTCTGCATCGCGAGGGGCTTCTACCCTGTGGAGATCGAGGCCCGGTGGCTGAAGAACGGGCGGCCGGAGGAGGAGGGTGTGGCCTTCGGGGAGGAGCTCCAGAACGGAGACTGGACCTACCAGCTCCAGGTGATGCTGGAGACCCAGCCCCAGCGGGGGGGGACGTCTACGCCTGCCCAGTGGAGCACGCCAGCCTGGAGGCCCCCATCACCATCCAGTGGGGTGAGCCCCTCCCCTCTGGTCTGGGGACCCCCTCCTGCCCTGAGAAGGGGGGAGAGACCCTCCCTGTGCGGGGAGCTGGGATGGACCCTCCTGGGAGGGAAGCTGGCCCTGATCTTCCTACTCAGTGAGGCTCCTTCTCCTTCCCCAGAGCCCCGATCCTCCAACTCGGCCAGGAGCAAACTCTGGACAGGGATCGTGGTGGCCGTGATCGGGGTGATCTTCTTTGCCATGGGGCTCTCCCTCTACCTGAAGAGCAAGAAAGGTGAGTCTGGGGGGCTGGATGAGAGATTGTGGGGGAGGGGACCATCCAGGGGAGGCCTCTCAGCAAGTTTAGAAGATGGCAAGGAGGCCCCCTTGGAGATTTGCTTGGGAAATTCTGTTCTCTGAGAGTCTACTGTATAAGTGAGCATCCTGCAACCTATTATGGGCTATTGATGGGGAGGGGGACCCCCTGAGTCCTCCAGCCCATGAAGGGTCCTGATTGGCTCTTTTTCTCCTTTCAGCTACTCCCATCCAGCCTCCTGCAGGTGAGTTTCTCCTCAAGTTATAGATGTTTCTTTAACATTCGTTAATTGTTCCTTTTTTTAAAAAAAGAAATGTGCCTGAATGAAACCTCCTTGCTGTGGATAAAACAAATATTTGAAGTTTTGGGCAGCTTTTCCTTTCAGAGACCTGAAAACAGTGCAATGAAAAACAAACACAGACACATAAACACTAAAATCTGTCCCAGGATCTTTCCAGCTTTTGGGAAATTGCAAAGGAGAAGGGAAGTCTCCTTGTGACATTTCACACAATTCCTGGCCAAGCGACACCCGCCTTTGCTGCCATGGTCCATCCTGGCCCCATCTTCTTTGTTAATATGAAACATCTGGGGGGGGGGGAAACCTCCTCTCTTGATTAACCCCCCCAATTAATTCATTTGGGGAAAATTCCATCAGCCCCAGAAGGCGAATTGCTGGTCCTTTGCATCCTTTTCCTCCCTGAAAAAGGGGGGAGTGGTTCTCCCTCATTCTGCCCTGCCTATCAACCACCTCCCTGCAGTGTGGGTCTTCCTGGGGGGGCTGTAATAATAATATGTTATTTACCATTTTTCCTCATCTCTTTTTCTTCAGCACTCATGAATTAATCCTGCCCTCCTTCCTGCTTCCTGGTGGGAAAGGAAGGGGCTTTTTTCCATTAACTGATGAATTTCTGTCTCTTTTTTGCGACCTCTGAAAAATGGAGGGTCAAGATTTTAGATTGGGGGAGGAGGAGAATGGCAGCCTGGAGCCTCTCCTGCTGAGACCCCTCTGGCTTTCCTTTGAAGGCCTCTCTTTCTTGTGAGGGAGCAGTGGAGACTATCTAGACTGACCCCAGGGACTCTGAGCCTGCCTGTCAGTCCAGACACCTAAATCTCTCCCGGCTTTAAATCCACAGCAGCTTCATCTTCATTAATCTTTGTCCGAATCCCTTCGCTTTGCTATAAAAGAATAAACATTGTAGGAAAAATCCTGGAATTCTTCCTTCCTTCCTTCCTTTCTCTTCCTCCTCCTCTTTCCTCCCTCTTCCCCACAGGAGGGTCCACCCTTCTCCCCTTCCCCTCCCCAGATTGACACCTCCCCTGCCTCTGGATCAACCATCCCGACTACTTCAGGTCCGAAGTCAAAACTGGTTTGGGAGAAGGGTGGGCAGATCCAGGGAGGGGCAGGACTCCCCTCCTGCTCAGAGGCCCCCTTGCTCTGCTTCCCCTCAAGCCTCCTTTTGAGGACCAGGATGCCAGGAGGCGTGGTCCCCTTCAAGCACTTGTGGGGAGCCACTGGGAAATACCTGAGACTCCCCCTACTAGCATTTCTGCCATTTCTCTCCTTCACAATTGGAGGGTCCTTCCCCAGACTGCCAAACTATCGTTACTGCAGCCCCACAGCCCTTCCTGCCTTCGCGTCTGAAGCCCCCTCCCTCTGGGCAGAGGGTCTCCAACAGAGAGAGTCCTGGGTTAATCTCGTTTGGCCCCCAACTGGAGCTCATCTGAGACCCCCCCCCTCAGAAAAGGCCCTGAGTGGTCCTGTGGCCAATGGCCTTGATCTCTGGGAACGTCGCCCTGATGTCCATCTCCCTGGTCTGAGGGCTCCTGGGCAGGGGGTGTTGGGAAGGGTCTCTTCCCCAGGGCCTCTTGGGGCCAGAGCAGAAAGTCCAGCTGAAGCCATTCCTGGTGTAGGAGACATTTGCCATCAGGGGGGAGGGAGGGAGAGCAGCTCTGCGGGAGAGAGGAAAGATCAAGGGGGCAACTCTGAGTAGAAGACCCCTCCCTTCTCCCCAGCACCCCTAGATGCCCCTAGATAGCTCTCCCACTGAGCCTTGCCCCCTCCGGAGGTCATCCAGGCTGCTTCTGCAGGATTCCCCTGGCTTCGATCTCCAAGGGCAGATTTTGTCTCCCTCCCATTCCTCATCTGGGGCACATAAAGACTAGGTCAGTGGAGGAACAGTCTCAAAACCTTAGAACACAATGCCTCTCTTCACAATATTATGAGACCGTTATGCAGTCAACATCACCTTAGATGCAAACTAAATAGGGCTCCCCAATATTTTCCTGGAACATAATTATGGGCTGCCACCTGGGGGAACTCGGGGAAGTATGTGTTGATGTACAGGAGCAACAGGCTTAGTTCCTTGCATCATCAGGAAGAGCCAGCAGGTGTAGGAATTTCTCACTCTCCCGTTGGACTCTTTCACTCAGCTGAACAAGAAGGGCTAGAGAAGAGAGGAGAACATTGCAGGGTTTACTAGGCCCAAACCTCCTTTCTTCTCCTGCCAGTGATAGAAAGGGCTCTTTGACTTGAGGGGGGAGCCCCTTTCTGAGGACTCCCCCCTGCCCACCTTGCCCTCACAGGCAGTGAGTATTAGTGGGTCAGTGAGGCTACACATGGCAAAACTAGCCAATCTGAAAAGAAAGTCAATTATTAGTAATGTAGTTCTTTGCTCAAGAACCGCAGGGAGCAGGCAGAGGCTAGCTGTATTTCTGAAAGTGCACTGAAGTCTAGAAATAATGTTGAGCTCCTGGTGTTACCCCAGAAACGGTCAATTATCTTGTGTAATGAGTACCGTATGTGCCGAGAGGGAAATGGGGACAAACTGACATGTTGTTTAACAATAAAGTGTCAAGCTGTGAAGATTCCTTGCTTTAGAACTGCCATGATGCTTCCGGCTGATTTCTGTGTTACGTGTACCCTGCCTGTGTTGTAAAAAATGCTGCATTAAAAGGCTAATAAAGAATGGATATATGTTAACTATTGGCCCTAGACCTACTCTGGTAATTATTATTTGTATTTTAATAATTATTTTCAGTGAGGTCTGATTCATAGTTTGGATTTTAACATTTTATAGGATGATTTATGCCACAAGATAAATATTTACATCCCCTTATAAATTTAGACATTGCAATAAAAGAGAAGTAGAAAGTGTGTGAATGAAAGTTGAGAGGGGGGAGGAATTGAATAGTTTCAGGTTTGTATGGATACTGGTTGTGCAAATTATGTTTTCACCTGTGTACATTGTTAGATCACACCCTTTTATTAGCATAGGTGTAATAGTGTCCACAATAGTATCCCTCACATGTTGGCTGTGTTTGTTTGCCTGCATCAGGTCCTATGTGACTCACCCTCTGATAATGTGGTTTTATGGTGTAGTCTATTTATTTGTTTAGATGGTATCTAATCAATTTCATAACATCTGTTGGTCTGTCTGTTTAACAAAAAGATTGGGCCAGGAAAGTATCCTCTCTCTCTTGCGGATTTCCTATTGCTACATCTTCATTTCCTTTATCAAGATCCAGGCTGTGCTGATATTAAGTCATATTAAGTTGTATCCAAGGCTATTTCACTTGAGAAAAAATAACCTTAAGAATTTTTTTCCTGCTCCTTTCCAAGATCTTAGTGAATAGCTTCAATCTGATTTTATACTATTTCTGCTGAAGCAACTACATTAGCTGGAAGACATCGGTGGCAAAGTAATCGCAAAGCAATAAATAAATAAACCGAAAGGGAAGAATGAGACTGTGTGAAATTATAGCATAATATGTGGTTGAAGAGCAGGCAACACCTCCCTCCCTCCCTCCCTCTTTCTCTCTCTCTCTCCCTCCCTCCTTCTCTCTCTCCCTCTCTCTCCCTCCCTCTCCCTCCCTCCCTCCCTCTCTCTCCATCCCCCTCCCTCCCTCTCTCTCTCTCCCCCTCCCTCCCTCCCTCTCCCTCCCTCCCTCTCCATCCCTCTCTCTCTCTTTCACCACAAATGTTTTAGAGTTTGATGCGTAGCAATTTTATTTATATAAAGAAAGATGAAGCGATAGCAGGTGGCAATCTCAGGTCCTTGACCATATCTTGAAGATATCCATGGTCGGAGATGGAGATGGCATTATTTTCCACTTCCCCTATACAAATGAGAAAAAAATAATAAGTTGATCAAAGTGAGTTTAAAGTCAATTCTTTGCTTTGCAAAGCTTTGTGAATGCAAACAATATCAGGCAGAGAATCTCATTATGTACTCTATCTGTAGTATCTCTATTAGAGGAGAGTTTTCTTACCTTTTACAACACTTCAATAGCGACCCACAGCCCAGGTTCCCAATGTTAGAAGTTCCAAGAGGACATCGGCTGACACGGCAGAATCCGCCTTCCTGATTACACTGTGGTTGGGCATTCCCTATGAAAAGAAAAAGAGGAGACACGTAAATGATGAGTAAAGATTCCTTAATATTTAAATATACTTTCCCTTCCAAGACACTACCTTCTTCTACAGAACTGCAGGATTCCTTTATCCATTTATATTTTTATTCATTTATAACGTAAAAATATCAAAATAAAAAGCAAATAGTAAGGAACAACCACAGGGAAAGAGGAAAAGGGGAAATGTGGAAAGGGGGGGGAGAAACAAAAGGCATTGAATTCCGATTCCCTGTTGCAGTAAAATAAGGCATGAAAATCGAATCTCAACTTTTTGCATTTCTGTATTAGTATGAACTAGCCATTTCTCTATCAACAAATCAGTCTAATCAGTAAACCCCAAAATCATAGTATCATTTTTTTCCACCTCAAGCACAAAGTCCAGAAGCAGTTTCCAAGTAGAAACAATAATGCTTTTATTCTTTTCTTTTATCAAAACTGTCAGTTTAGCCAAATTCACTCAGTCAACTTTCAGGCCCAAGGTGGGACTAGAACTCAGTACCCAGAGTTGTCATATTTTGCTCTAATCACTAGACCAAACTGTTTCTCCACTTTGCCTCCTTATTCAAACAAAACATATTTGGCTGAGAATTGGGTAAATCAATACTAAAGTGAAGCGTACCCAAAAAAATAAGTTACAATAACAAAACCCCCAATAAAGTTATTTCAAGAATTGTGAATCAAAAGAAAAATTAATGGCATATTTATCCTTATCGAGATCCAGGCTGTGCTGATATTAAGTCATCAGACAAAGTCATTCTTGTTCTAAGTTGTATTTAAATGGTATTCAAAATGGTATTTAACTTGAGAAAAAATAATCTTAAGAATTTTTTTTCTGCTTCTTTCCAAGATCTTAGTGAAAAGCTTAAATCTGATTTTATACTATTATATATTATACTACTGGTTTTCCCAGTTGTAATGTATGTGTCACAAGTTCCGACTAAAGAAGCACTTCAAAGAACTTTCAGGCATGTTTCCTAAAGTCTTTATTTGCAGAGCTACAAATTTTGCCGGTCACCGTGTTGGACTAATTGATGCCAGAATCTGAACTTCCGGTCGCTGGCATCAAGCTTTCCTTGCTCAACCCCTCCCTTCTCATGCAGTCACAGGTCACATTATCCAATTAGTGAGAAGGTCAAAAGTTTACTTCCTCTTTCTTTCCCGGGCTTTTTCCCCCGCCCAGTCTAAGCTAAGTATTAACCCAATAAATGCCAAACAGTTTTGCATATTGTCAAAGCAAGAATATACAGTATTTGCAGCATTGACATCCGGCCCCCCTTTGTAAGCCAAGCCATCCCTGCATGTTAGGGACGCTTGATTATCTTTGAACCATTGGTCAGTGAGGAGCTCTCGTTTTATTTTCTTCACTCCAGGGTCATCCGGATTGGGGACCCTGCGAGGTGTAAGTTGAGTGACAGTTTGTGGATTGGGAATAATTGCCTCGTTAACCTGCTCTCGTTCACTTTTGTACTGGGGTAACCGGGATAGCGCATCAGCTAGAAAGTTCTTTCCTCCTGGTATGTACTTTAGAGTGAAGTTGAAGCGGTTAAAGTACTGTGCCCACCGTACTTGCTTTGGTGACAATTTGCGAGGAGTTTTCAGTGCCTCTAGGTTCTTGTGATCTGTCCATACCTCAAATGGTACCTTGCTCCCTTCTAGATAGTGTCGCCAGTTCAATAGCGCCCACCTAATTGCAAAGGCCTCTTTTTCCCAGATTGCCCATCTTCGCTCGCTCTCAGTGAATTTCTTAGAGGTGTAGGCACAGGGTTGCAGGATCCCATTTTTGTTCTTTTGAAGTAACACTGCTCCAACCGCCATATCGCTGGTGTCGGCTTGAATCACAAAGGGTTCCCCTGGGCAGGGGTGCTTTAGAACCGGTTCAGCGGCAAATAGTCTCTTTAAATTCTCAAAAGCTGTTTGACAGCTCATTGTCCATGCTAGTGGTTGGCCCGGTCGTGGCTTCCCTCCTCCTTTGCCTGTTTTGAGTAGTTCTGTAAGAGGAAGGGCAATCTCGGCAAAAGAAGGGATGAATTGACGATAAAAGTTGGCAAAACCCAGAAAGCTTTGGAGCTGTTTGCGAGTCCTTGGGGGTTGCCATTCGATTATAGTTTTTACCTTGGCCGGATCCATTTCAATGCCCTCATTGGAAATTCGGTAGCCAAGATAGTCTAATTGGGTTCGGTGAAATTCACATTTTGACAATTTGACATAAAGCTTGGCATTCAATAGTTTCTTTAACACTTCTCTCACTAGTTTTATGTGATCATTCATGTTTGTGCTGTATATCAGGATATCATCAAGATACACCAAAACCCCTTTGTACAAGTGATCATGTAGAACCTCATTAATCAACTGCATAAATACGGCTGGGGCCCCCTGTAGTCCAAATGGCATGACTTTGAACTGATAGCTCCCCATTGGACAGTTGAAGGCAGTTTTCCACTCGTCTCCCTCTTTTATTCTCACCCGGTAGTATGCCTCTCTTAGGTCTAACTTAGTGAAGACACTCCCCTTAGCCAGGTGGGTCAATAAATCCTTTAGGAGGGGGAGGGGGTATTTATTTTCCACACTTACAGCATTGAGTCCCTGGTAGTCTACGCAGAGACGAAGAGACCCATCTTTTTTCTCTTTAAACAACACAGGGGCTCCCACGGAAGATTTGGCCCGTTCAATAAACCCCCTCGCTAGGTTCTTGTTCACATATCGCTGCATCTCCTCCATTTCGAGGGGGGACATAGCATACATCCTCGGACGTGGGAGTTTGGCTCCGGGCACCAGTTCGATGGAGCAGTCATTGGGTCTGTGAGGGGGTAGGGCATCACATTCTTTTTCACTGAACACCTCCGCCAGGTCCAAGTATTCTTTGGGGATGACTGGTTCACCTGGGGTCAGTGAGACGGCCATGTGCGCTCGCTCATTGGGTGGCCTAAGATGCCCGGTAACATCTGTTGAATCAATGGGGGGATCAGGCCCTATAGGTAGTCTCACAATTCTCATTCCTTTCTCCCACCAGATAAATGGCTTCCATTTGTCCAACCAGGCTAGTCCCAGGATCACTGCCTCGGTCATCTTTGGAGCCACCAGGAAACGAATAAACTCCCAGTGTGCACCTATTTCTAGGCGTAAAGGCTCAGTTAATTGTGTAATAAGAGTCCCTCCCATCAGGGAGCCATCGGCTTGCTCAAATCTCATCGGTTTGGAAAGCTGTTTTGCCCTTATGCCCATTTTCATGGCAAACGCCAGACTAATAATGCAGCGGGTACATCCCGAATCAATTAGTACGTTTAAGTCTATTTGTGCCCCAGACTTAGGGATTACAAGTTTGGCGGGCAGTGAAAAAGGCAGGATTTGTTGACTCACCATTGGGTCGTTTTCTCCTTCATCGTCGCTATCAAAGAAGGGAAGAGCAGGGGCAGGTCCACCTGGAGTCTTGGCATTCTCCTGTGTGTGGGGTGTAACCTGGGCGACTGGTTCTTGCGTGAGTCGATTAGATTTTTCTCTTGGTAGCCACTGAGCAGGTTTCTTTTGCATCGCCGGTCCTGGCTTGCTCTGCAGTCGAGGGTAGGGGACTGGACAGGTGGCCGCTCGGTGTCCTCCTTGTCCACACCGGAAACACTTGAAGGAAGGGCGTGCAGGTGGCCTGGGTCTCTCAGCCCTTGCAGTGGTTGAAGGCTTTCGTGGGGGTGATTGCTGTTCAGGTAGCTCTGGTTGCTGTTCGGGTTCCTGTGGGGGAGGCTTTTTATAGCGAGAGAGCTTAACATCCAGCTTCACGGCCGTCTGGTACCACTCCTGCAGCCGATCAGGTACTTCTCGATAGATGCAAGCCTGGGAGAGGTGATCATCTAATCCCTCGATGAAGTGATGGATGAGGGACTGCTCAGGCCACCCCTCTATTCGCCCTGCCATCTTGCGGAACTCTCGCACGTACTCTAGGGCAGGCCTCCCCGCTTGTTTTATTTTGTGAATTTGTCCTGCTGCTTTGAGGCCGATGGATGGGTCTTCAAATCGTTCTCTCAGTCCTAAGAGAAAGAGATGAGGATCCTCCAATTCGAGGGCTTGCTCGCTATATAGATTGTTCAGCCATTCAGATGCTTCTCCCTCCAGGTTGGCCCCAATGACGTCAACCATGGCCCCTGGTTCCGGATAGAGATAGGCCCAGCGATTTAGATGAGAACGCACTTGGTTGAGGAAAAAAATCAGCGTCTCTGGGTCCCCATCAAACGTTGCATTGAAGGGTGGTGCAAACACAGGCTGCTGTGGCCCCCACTGGGGCTGGTTCCATGGCTGCTGGCCAGCGGGGATGGATGGTACCCCCTGCAGCTGTAGGCCTCCCAATGGTGGCTGCGCAAGTGGGGGTTGTAGTGGTCTTCTCTGTTGTTGGACTGGAGGGGGTGGTGGTGCCCTCTGCTGCTGCTGATCATTCATCTGCCGGGGAAACCCATCTACCCCTTGCTGCAGATGCCTCAGACTGGGACTCACCCTCTCTTCAGGGTTGGGGTCTCTGGCTGGCAAAGGCAGGGTCTGACAGGCTTCCTGCTGGGCTCCCCATCGCTCTTGTGGCCACCCCAGTTGCTGTAGGCCCCAACCTGGCTGCAGATTTATGCCCAGGGGTTGCACGTTTGGGGGCTGTGGCCAACCTCCTTGCTGTGGCTGTTCTCCCCCCCAGCTGCTGATTTCCTGGCATCTGTACCACCCTAAGGCATTGCAAGGCCTCTATTGGCTGTGGTAAGTTCAGAGGACATGGATCAGCCACTTGCTGGGGAACCCAATTTCCCCTTTGCTGCAGAGGATTCAAACTGGGATTCTCTCTCTTAGGGATGAAGGTTTCACTTTGTAGGGACTGTTTTCTGTTTCTCATTTCTAAGTTTTGAAATCTTTCCAACGACTCACCCATAACTGTGTTATCTGTCCATTCTGCTTTTGAAGTCTTCGCTCTCAGCTGGGAAATCTGCCAAATTTCTCTCTCCCCCGGCTTGCTGGCTGTCGCTTCCCCCCCCGGGGAGACTGTTGCAGCTACGGGGCTGGTTTCAGGCAATTTTTTTT